TTCAAATTATTAAACAATTGCACTCATTTCACATACCAGCAAAGTTATGTTTAAGGTTCTGCAATTTTGGTTTCAGCCATATGTGAACTGAGAATTAGCAGAAGAGCAGGCTCATTTATATAGGCAGAGGAACTAGAGACCAAATTGTGAACATTCACTGGATTATGGAGAAAGGCAGGGAGTTCCAGAAAAACCTCTACTTCTGCTTCATTGACTACACTAAAGCTGTTGACTGTATGGATCATAAAATGTGGCAAGTTTGCAAAGATATGGGAGTACCAGATCATTTTACTTGTCTCCTGAGGAATCTGTATATGGGCCAAGAAGCCCATAGTTAGAACCAAACATGAAACAACTGACTGGTTTAAGACTGAAAAAGGAGTATGACAAAGCTGTATGTTGTCAACTTGTTTATTTAATTTATATGCAGAGTACATCGTGTGAAATGCCAGGCTAGCTGAATCAAAAGCTGGAATAAAGGCTGTTGGGGAAAATATCAATAGTATCAGATATGCAGACGATACGATACATTAACATTAAAAAAAAACTAAGATGTTGACAACTGGTCCAAACACTTCCTGACAAATAGAGAGAGAAGGAATGGACGCAGTGCCAGATTTTATATTCTTGGGCTCAAAGATCACTTCAGGTGGCTTCTGCAACCATGAAATTAAGACACTTGCTCCTTGGAAAGAAAGCAATAGCAAATCTGCACAGCATAGCAGAGACGTCACCTTGCTGATGCATAGTCAAAGCTATGATTTTTCCAGTAGCAATGTATGGCTGAGAGAGTTGGACCATGAGGAAAGCTGAGTGCCATGGAATTGATACTTGCAAATTACAGTGCTGGAGAAGACTTTTGAGAGTCCCTTGGACAGCAAGGAGGTCAAATCAGTCACTATTTATTCAAGTCACTAAATTAATTCAAGCTATTCACTGGAAGGTCAGATACTGAAGTAGAAGATTAAATATGTTGTCCACATAATAAGAAGATGGTACTCATTGGAAAAGACCCTGATGTAGGGAAAGATTGAAGGCAAAAGGAGAAGGGGAGAGTAGAGAATGAGATGGATAAATAGTATCATGAAAACAATGAACATGAAGTTGGACAGACTTTGGGAGACAGTGTAGTATAGAAGGGCCTAGCACACTATGCTCCATGGAGTTGTGAAGAGTTGGACAAGACTGAACAACAGCAACAATAGGTGAGAGGTAATGACAGTCTAATCTGGTGGTGGGGAACCTGCAGCCTTGAGGCCACATGTGGCCTTCTAGATCCTTAAGTGTGGCCTCTTACTGTTCTGTAAAATTTAGATTCAGTCAAAAGGCCACACTTAAGGATCTGTAAGACTACGTGTGGCCTCAAGGCCACAAGTTCCCTACTCCTGGTCTAATCTAATGTGGTAGCAATGTGAGTGGAAAGGAGGAAACCTATAAAAGAAATATTTAGGAAGTGGAATTGGAAAGATTTAGCAACTAATTGCATGGAAAAGGTGAAACAAATAGAAGACTCAAATATGATTCCAAGGTTAAGAACCTGGGTGACTGGGAGAATGGTGATGCCATCAAAAGAAATGAAGGAGTGGAGAGGAGGGATAGGTTTTGGGAGAACATTGAAATACATTTTGGATATTTTGAATTTGAGTACTAGTAGGTCATCCAGTTGGAAATGTTAAGCAGATAATTGAAAATGTGGAACTGAAGCATAGGAAAAAACCAGAAATGGAGTATAAATTGGCACTTATTTGCATAGTAGCGATAACTAAAGCCATGGGAATAATTAAGATGACCAAGAGAGAAAAGAAGGCTGAAGACAAAGCCTTGAGAGACACAAATATATAGGAAACGGGGTACAAGCATGATTCAGCACAGACTAAAGAGTGGTAAGGAAAGTAAAAGTAGAAGGTAGTGTCATGGAAGCCAAGAAATGAGAGTATCCAGAAAGGAAGGGGGACAGTGAACAGCTATTTCAAATATTGCAGAAATATCAAGGAAGATGAGGACTGAGAAAAGGCTGCTGAAATTTAGCAATAACAAAGTCATTTGTGACCTTGGAGAGAGCAATATCTGTTGAGTGGTAGGGAGCAGAAGAAGATTTAAAGGGACTAATAGGAGGTAAGAAAGTGGGGTTAATGAGTGTAGAAAGTTTTCTAGGACTTTGGCTATGATAAAGATGATTGCTTGAGACAAGTGAGATAGGGTCAAGTGAAGGCTGCTTAACGAAAGGGGATACCTGGGTATATTTGAAGACAACAAGGAAAGAGCTAGCGGATGAGGAGAGGCTGAAAATTAGGAAGACTGATGGAATAACCAAAAGGATAAGTTTCTGGAGAAGATGTAGGGCAATGGAATCATAAGCATAAGTAGAGGGGTTGTCATTGGAAAGAAGAAAGAATACCTTGTCCTACAAGACTGTAGCAATAAAGAGGAGGGGAAGGGATGATATTGAAGTGATTCAAAGTATATATTTGGATAAGAGAGTGAGCTCCTGATGAGATGGATGGATGATATCAATTTTTTCAGTGAAGTATAAAATCAACGTCCTCTGCTGAGAGGGAAAAGGGATGTAGTGGGGTAGGTGTCTTGAGGAGAAAAGAGAAAGTGTGGAATAACCACTGGTGGTATAATACAGGGCAGAAAGACTTCTATGCAGTAATGAGCACCCAGTTGAGATGGGATAACATAAATTTGTAGGGGGACCAATCTGAAGATTTAGAGGGGGTATCAAAATGTGAAGGAGAGGAGATAAAGATGATCATAATCTTCTCAGACAAATAGAAGGCCAAAAAATCTGCTGAGTGAGAGATGATGAGGTGGAGTAGGGATTAGAGTTAGGGGTATGAAGAGAGAAAAGAAGGTTTAGAATAGCTGCTGTAGGAGACAAAGATACTAGGAAGTCAAACCAAGATGAAAAACAGGACTGCCATTGAACAGTGAGGACCCAATTGAGATCAAGTAGCACTCATTTGTAGTAAATGCAGTCAGCAAAGTTTTGTGACTTTTGTTTCAGCACTAGTTGGCAACACAGCAACACAGAAGGCAGATGTCAAGGGTAGGGAAGTGTCTAGTGAAGGAACATTGGAAGGACAAGTGCTGGGGGATTAAGGGATGAAGGAGAGTGTATTAATATAATGTCCAACTATAGGGCCAATCTTGTGAAGGGAGGGTGGGAAATAAAGCCAGAACAGGGGTGATAGATTGGGTAAACAGATAGAACAGATGAAGTTGGAGAACAGGAAATCACATTCAGGAGGAGTGAGTTCACCACAACCACCACCTTTCTAGTCCCTCAGGTTGCAGAGTAATCCTTGACTCATCACTTTGCCTCACCTCATATCCAATCAGGTCCCAAGTTGTCTTGATTCTTTTTTTTTTATTTAAAAGTTTATTTTTAACATTCATTAAAAAAAATTTTTTTTGAGTTCCAGATATTCTCCCTTCCTTCCACTCCTCCCCACTCATGGAGAAGGCAAGCTATATGATATCAATTACACATGGAAAGTCATGCAAAACACATTTTCATATTAGCCATGTTATAAACAACAACAAGAACAAATATAAAAATGGGGAAAATGTGTGTTTTAATCTATAATCAGAGTTCATCAGTTCTCTCTCTGGAGGTGAATAGCATTTTTTATCCTGGGTCCTTTGGAATTGTCTTGGATCATTGTCTTGATCAGAATAGCTGTCTTTCATAATTGACCATTGCTACAATATTGCTATTACTATGCCAGTGTTCTCCTGGGTCTGCTCACTCTCCTTTGCATCAGTTCATATAAGTCTTCCCAGGTTTTTTTTTTAAAGCATCCTGCTTGTCGCTTCTTACAATAGTATTCTATTACAATAATATTACATTAATAATAGTACTATAGTAGTATTCTGTCATAATCATACAGCACAACTTGTTCAGCCATTCCCTAATTGGAAAGAATCTGAGTTTTGAATGACTCAATTGCATATGAAGATGCTAGTGTGACAATGATTCGACCAAAGAACTTTAATATTTTTGTCATCAGCCATTTATCTGCAAAAGACTCAAAGGGAAATATAACTGGGCTGAGCACTACAAGTAAAAGTAAAGTCCCTCACTTAGGGAAGCCACCTCTGACTCTGGAAAGATTTTAAAATAATATAGGATGGATGAACTCCCATTTCTTGCCTGGAGTGTTCTACCAGTCTTAGGCTAAGAGTCATTGTTCTTTCTGAAAAGAGCACTATGCTCTGCAAGGAGCCAATCTAGTTGAGAAGCAGAGCAACTCATCAATCATTAATGCCCTCCAGAAAAAGAAAGGGCATCAAGGACCTGTAGTTTAGGAATTGTGCAATACCTTGGCCATATATGTTCCCAGAAGTGTGGCTCTAGTATTGTACTTTAAAATCATGCCCACTCTTCCTCCAAGAATTCTGTGTGTATTTGTGGGTGAATGCACCCCTACATTTTTGGGGAAATAGTTTGTAACCACTGTTCTTGATATACCATAAGAATGAATGGCTTTGCAAAGAACTGATTTTTAAAGGCAAGAACATTGATGGGGGCTTATGAGGAAGATCTCTCAATAGAGTTTCCTCTAGAACTCTGAAAGTAGTAGTATTAACTGTTTATGCCTGTGTGGGCTGGAGAAGTGAGTTCACAGGAGGGTGCCATGCATGGAAAAATATAAATTCAGTTTAATATTTAAAGCCCATCATAACTTGGATCCAACCCATCTTCAGAGAGTCATTTCACATTAGCCAAACTATACTACTCTGTATTCTATCTCTTAATTCTATACTTTTGTATTCTACACCTCCTTTCCTCCCCTTCCCCCCTCCCCCCCATTCCTGGAGGGTAAACTCACTTATGCTTTTTGAAATCTTTACTTTCCTTCAAACCTCACTTCCTTTTTCTGATCTTCCTCCTCGAAACATCTTGCATTTCTGTTTACATATTGTATACCCTAGTGAAATGCAAGCTCCTGGAGGGCAGGGGCTGTTTTTCATTTTGGTCTTTGTGTCCCCAGCAACCCAAACAGGAGCCCTGAGGAAAATCCGACTTGAAATGCAGATCAACTACTCTGTAAGTTATAGTTGCCTGGGTCCTGGAGACATTAAACAACTTGTACAAGATAAGGCAGCCAGTATGTGTCATAGGCAGGACTTGTTAACTGGATTTTTACTGAGCCAGTCTCTAACCTGAGAGCGCTCAGAGCTGCACAAAGCAGGCCTACACACAGGAGTACAGGTAATCAAATAGTTTAATCAGTTTCAGTTTCATTTTGAGGAATGTTTTCTTAGCTGAAGTCAAATCACAACTGGGGAAGAAGGGGGGGGAAGGTGGATTACAAACAATCATTTGGCGGTTTCCCATGAGAAACCTACAAGTCCCACGATACAATTTTGGACCCAAGTCGTTGGGTGTTGTGATCACCGCCCCTAAAGTACAGAACAGAGTTCTGTGATGGGAACAGGTTCTATAATCTTTGATTCGCTTCGCCTAAGGTCCAGTGATTGTAAGCCTTGTCAGAATTTTGATTAATCAGTTCAAGTTGCATTGTGAGTTCTGACTCCCAAGCCAGAGAAAACCAAATTATTGGTATATTCATTACATATATCATATTTTTATTAATATGAAAATTACAAATTCCCTTCTCAGACTTACACTCAAATATTGCTGACTCTTAGGCCAGCTCACTATTCGCTATAGATATGGAATCTCTGAGTTTTGATTCTTGAAGGTAGAGCAGTCATGTTGAAACATGTAGTTAGAGAAAGGATATTTAAGTATGAAGCCTAAGATACAAGAAGCTTATCGGATGGCTGAGGTAGAGAAGAGATGGAGAACTTGGGAGCTGAGGATGAGGAACTGGCCTGCATATGAAGGGCCATCACTGTGAAGACTAAAGTCATAAAGGACAATTGCAGGGTTAGCATGGGAGAGGAAAGACTGTAAGTCAGGTGCTGAAGTTACTGAGGAAGGTAGATGAGAGTCTTGAAGTTTAATAAATGGTGGCTTTAGGGTACATTTCAAAGGATAATTGGTTAACTGATAGAGGGTCAAGTAGTAGCAGGGAAGAAAGAATTTTGTTGGCTCATCCTCCTGGACTTATGTGTATATATGTATATATCTTATGTGTATATATATGTAATACCATATATACATCATATATGTGTGTATATATATATACATATATATATATACACGTGTATATGTGTGTGTGTGTGTTGTGTGTATGCAAGTGAGGAAGCACCCAGCCCTATACCAATAAGAGGAAAGGAGAAAAGCAGTGACTAGTAGTTAGAGGAGGGTGGTAAGCTATTTTCTGGGAAAAAACCTATTTTCTGTTTGCATCTGGAGATGGTAGAGGAGAGCTTGAGCAAGCGGGGTAATATGTTTGCAACAGAGACAGAGCTCCAGAATGCAGTTTGAAGAGGAGACTAGCTAGGATCAATAAGGCTGAATTACAGGAGAGAGGTAGTGGAAGAGAGGGAACTTCTTCAGGCCTGGTTTAGCGACTAAAGATTATTTGATTGGCAGTTAAACTATAGGAATTAGCTAGCCTTAGGGCAAACTTGTAAATTAATTGGGACAGTATCTTTTGCTCTCCAGGGTTTCCGAATGCTGAATATTTGAGTATAAAGCACTAACCAGATAAATTCTGGTCGAATGCTTTGAATAAAGTTTGACTCAATAGGCTTTAAATAGGATCCCGCTCCCCCCATTAGAGAATTCTTTGTCTAATTGTGGCCTTGCACTTATTAAGCACCTATCACGTGCCAAGCACAGTGCTGAACAAAAACTCGAAACTCCCTGACATCAAAGACCGTAGGGGGGTGGGGAAAGGGATACCCAGATTGCACTTAAACTACCTGTTTCCCAAACTATTTCCCACCTCTGTGCTCTCTATAGGATCCCTATATTATTTGTGTCCTAAACAAATTAGTATCCTATTGCACTCGGGGAAGAGAAGAGGCGGGGCTGCACTTGGAGTACCCGACAGTCCTGAGTGGCCGGGGAAGAGAGTGCGAAGACGCTCGCTCACTCTATCTCCCTTATACTGTATGGAGCTAACGGTAGGGCGGGCCGGAGCCCAGCGGTCCGAAGTGGGGCGGAGCCTAGGCAGAAAACGAAACTGAGCATTAGTTTCACCAACTCGTCGCTAGAGCCGGCTGCTGCGCGCCTGGAGCGGGGCTGTCGGTGAGTTCGGGGACACCTCTGCATGACCCGGGGTCTGGGGGGAGGTTCTGGGCTCTAGGGGTTCGTTGTCCAAATGAGATAGAGCTTGTGGGACAGTGGTCGGAGGTTCTGCAGAGCTCGCGTATGTGCGTGTGAGAATGTGTGTATATGTGTGGGGTGGGGGTGAGTCTGACAACTGCAGCCAGGTGCAGATTCCCTTTGGACCAGATGGCCCTGAGGCCCTTGCGGCCCTGAAAAAGGAAGCCCTTGGTGGCTTTGGGCTCCCTGAGCAGAGCGCGGGCAAAAGTGCTGGCACTCTGGGAGATGACGCAATGACAGGAGGGCGAGATGATCGCGGTCCCGACACTTGGTGACTGATGATGGCTTTGGATAAGTCACTTTGCTGCTCTGGGTCTTAGTTTTCCCATCTTTAAAATGGGATTTGGACTAGCCAATGTAGAGTCCCCTTTTGCTCTAATCTCTGATCTTCTAATCAGTGACTCACAGATGCTCAGCCATTTCTGGAAGGAATGAGCATTGAGAAAGGAAATGAAATTTAGGGATAAAGTGAAGAGAAGAAGAGCTATAGAGCTCTTAAAGGTCCACTGATGGTGAAGGGTTGTGAAGAGGGAACAGAGATAATTATAATATAGGACAATCCAAAAACATCACTTTTGTGTGTTTAATGGAGACAGATGAATGAACATTTGAAGGGGCTCAAACCAGGGTTGTCAGAAAGAAGAGAAATAGAGAAGCTAGAGCAATTCATAAACTGGATTATCAATTGCCTATAATCAGGAATTTAAGGTAGTAAGAGTGGAGAGACTGAAAATTAGGAGCCCAATTGCTCATACTTTGTTCACTGCTGGCAAGAATCTACCTAATAAATCCTTGTCAGATGCTTTGAATGAAATGTGAATAAACAGATTTTCAGTGGACTTCTCTCCAGTTTTTTTTTGTTTGTTTTAGAGAGCTTGGGACCACCCTTTATCCATCTTCAGGTTTTTGATTCAATTTAACTTTAAGCATTTATTAAGTACCTACTATGTGCCCAGTACTGCATATATACAAAGACAAAAAAGGAAACTTCAGATTGAAGATTTTAAAAAGTTTATCCTTCTCATTGTCACAAACTATATTATCTTAGACAAAATTTAATATCTCTCAGAATCTCCTATTTCCCATTTTAAACTGGTTAGATTATTTTTCCTATAAAATATTTGGCCTGGTTGGATTTTACTTATAACATATTTGACCCCAGCTTCTTTACTGTGAAGTTCCTTGTACTACTGAAATCACAGTTCCTAAGAAATGTATAAAGAAAAATATCTGATTTCTTCATTCATTAATACCAGTTTTAGGCAAATGACAAATAATTAATCACTTGGTGATTGATTCCTGTGTAGCAGACATTGGGCTAGGCACTTGGTATACAAAAAAAGGCAAAAATAGTCCTTGCCCACAGGGAGCTTACATTCTGGCAGTAAACCATCAAGTAAATAAATAAGTACATTCAAGATATATCCAAAAAAGATGGAAGTTAACTTTCCAGGGGAAGATTTTAGCATTCCAGAGTAGATTAATATTGAATGTGTTTCCTGGAAAGTTCAGGAAGATTCGCTGATTGAGTTGTATATATACAGAAGATAGTTGTAGGATTTCTGAACTTGTAAGTACTTTTGCAAGCATTTGATTTTCATCCCTGCAAATGTTACTATATTAATTTGTTTAGAAGTATCAGAGAGGCAGCTAGTTGGTGCAGTGGATAAAGTCCTGGGCCTAGAATCAGGAATACCTGAGTTCAAATCTGACCTTAGATACTTACTAGCTATTTGACCCTGAGCAAATCACTTAACCTCTGTCTACCTCAGTTTCCTCATCTGTAAAATGGAGTTAATAATAGTGCCCACCTCCCAGGCTTGTTGTGAAGGTAAAATGAGAGAATATTTGTGAAGTGCCTTGCAAACCTTAAAATGCCATGTAGGATGAAAGCTATTGCTCCAAGATTTCTTATTCAGATGGAGTTGAATTAAAAAAAACAGACGACACTTCCCCAAAACAAAACAACCTAATTGCCCAGTTAAGTATGCCCTCCTGGCCCTTCTTTTTCTCTCTCAGCCTCTTAATCCCACAAAGATAGATGTTTTCATTTCAGTCACCTTTCAGCAGGATCCACTTTACTGAAAAAGGATGGCTCTTCTGTACTGGAAGGAGAACTTCTGTGCACCTTTCTACCTTTCATATCACCTGAGTGTTCTACACATCAGTAAATATTATTTATGGACATTGTGGTAAATATAATTTCCAATAATAAGATGTAGTGAAAAGATGATTAAACTTGGAGCCTGAAGACTTGAATTCCAGTCCCTACCCTGTTATTTATTAGCTGTGGAATTTGGGGCAAGGTACTTTGACTCTATGAGTATGTTTCCTTATCTATTAAATGGAAACTTGGATTGATCATAGGATCATAGATCCAGAACTGGAAGGGCCACCAAGTCCTCTGATTTTTACAGATGAAGAAACTGAGATAGAGAATTTAAGTGATTGCCCAAAGTCAATCAATCAATTAGTATTTGTTAGTCATTAAACACTATGTCAGGAGAATCAAATGAGATATTTTGTCAGGTGCTCTGTAGCTATAAAGTTTGATGTAAACATGAGATATTATTATTGACCTGTAAGGTCCAAGGTCTGGGTGAATGAATGCTAAATTAACCAACACCTTTTAAAATTTCTTCTTCACAACAACTCTAGGAAGTAGGTGGGGCATAAGTGACATCACTCTCAAGAACCAAGGAACCAGTTGAAGCTGAGAGAGGTAAGAAGTCCTGCTTGAGATTGAAGAGCTTCTGACTATGCTATGCCAAGTGTAGCAGCTGCTGTAATGAAAGAATCCTAGTATTCCAGCCCCTCTTAAGGGAAGCTCTTCAGAAAAAGGTGTGATCTCTTGTTTTTACAAGACATTAGTAGATTGCTTTGTCTTCTAAAATCCAAAATGACTTATATGAATTGGAACTGCTCTAGTTTTATATTGTTTTCTGAGAGGATTACTATAATTTATAACAATGTATAATAAATAATAATAATAATATAAAGTCAGAGAGGTATAGTAATCAGGGAGCTAATCTCAGAGTTAGGAAAGCCTGAGTTTAAGACTTGGCTTTGTGATCTTTGTGTTGTGAGTGAAACTTAACAAAAAGATAAACCAAGGCATGTTTCTCCAAGTAAGATAACAGTTTATTAATAGGGTACTGTACCCAGAGGTCAATGACAACCTCAGTTTCCAGCCAAAGATCAAGAATTAGAGATGCAACTCCTTTTTTATAAGCATAGAACAAACAACAGCACAGAGTAGGTAAGAAGATCATGCTATTGGTTGTAACATTGGCAGCATCATGGTGTGATGCATGGTGATTGGCTACGTTAACAAAATTGAACATATACAGCATGTGGGATCATTCTTAGTGGGTTGTACAGTAGCATCTTGTGGTCATTGATAAGGAACCAGAGATGTAAACTCGCTGGCACCTGGGAATTAGATAAGACCACCTTAGCAAGGATGAGGCTAAAGATGGCAAAGGCTAAAGATCCCCTCCCCTCACCCCAAGATGGCAGGCAATTTGATATAGGCTCTACGTATACATTCATACTGAACCTATTTTCACATTAGTAATGTTGTAAAGAAAAATTAGAACCAATGGAAGAAATCATGAGAAAGAAGAAACAAACAAAAAAGAAAAGAAGAGAGAGAGAGAGAGCAAATAATATGCTTTGATCTGCATTCAGACTCCATGTGGACAGTATTTTCTGGATGTGGACAGTATTTTCCATCATGAGTTCTCTGGAGATGTCTTAGATCCTTGTATTTCTGAGAAGAGTTAAGTTTATTAATATTAGTCATCGCACAATGTGGCTGTTATTGTGTACAACATTCTCCTGGTTCTGCTCACTTCACTAAGCGTCAGTCCATACAAGTTTTTCTAGGTTTTTCTGAAGTCTGCCTGCTCATCATTTCTTGTAGCACAATAGTATTCCACTGCATTCATATAACACAAATTGTTTGGCCCATCCATTCAATTTCTAATTTTTTGCCACCACAAAAAGAGCTGCTATAAATATTTTCATACATATGGGTCCTTTTCCCATTTGAATGATCTCTTTGGGATACAGCCCTAGAAGTGGTATTGCTAGGTCAAAGGGTACGCAAATTTTTATAGCCCTTTGGGCATAGCATGAACTTAATTTAAAAAAATTGGTCAGCTATGTTTCAAAGTAATTGGTTTCCATAGTAATCCTATGCAATATTTTATGCATTTAAAAATATTATTGTTAGAAGAGGTCCATAGGCTTCACCCAGACTGCCAGAGGGCTCCTTGACACAGAAAAGGGTTGAGAACCCCTGCCCTAAGATTGTAAATTGAACAATAGCCAATGGTTTGCATTGATAGAGGGAGTTTCTTCACTGGGATGTACTCTACACAGATTAAATCACAGTTCCAAACTTAAAAAAAAAAAGAAAGAAAACCAATCTATATTGACCCACCCCTGTAACTAGAAGCACAGAAGTGATCTTGGAATAAGGAGAACTGGGTCTGAATCCTGGCTTTGACATTGACTCTATGACCAACAGCAAGGCAAACCTCTCTGGGGAGCAGTTCCTCATCTATGAAGCTAGGGAGGGAGGATGAAACTAAATGATCTCTAAGGTTCATTTCAATTCAAAGTAACAGAGTTTTACATGCATTTTGCCCTAGATTTCCTACATTCAACAGACTTTTCATTGTGAAATTCATCATTACAGAAGCTGAATTAAGAGATAAAAAGAAGTATATACTCCTATGGGTTATCTTAATGAGTTTCAAAAATTTGAGAGACTTAAGGAAATAAATCTTTTCCAACTTGTGGATTAAAAGTTGAACTTTCATAAATCCATGGTAGAAGTTTGAAGCAGTGTAGTAAAAGTATCTAAAGTGACAGACTTGGAATCAACAACACCTGGGTTCAAATCTATCCTCTGACACTTGCTAGTTATGTGACCCTAGGCAAGTCATTTAACCTCTTTGACACTGCATCTTCCTCTGTAGAATGAGGGAGCTGGACTAAATTTGAGATTTGAGATCTCTTCCAGCTCTGCAGCTATTATCTTATGAAGTTTTCTGTAGAACTGGGAGAATTTATCTTTGAAGAATGATGGAGTTTTCCCATTGTTTCCCCTCCTGGCTTCAGAAGCAGATTGAGAAAATCAGTCTGAATGTTTATTCTCCGTGGATACTATTTCTTTCAGATTTCATTTCTATTTTAAGCACACCAAGAAGGATGGCTAACGGTCTTCAACCACGCATGTACTCTGCAGAACTCTATCATTATTGTC